AAGAGCTCTGAAGCCCTGCTCTTCTGATGGCAAGAGTAGAATCCTGAATCAGTGTCTCACTAGTTAAGAAGGCTAAAAACCTTTTCTAAGCTCATGCTATACGATAAAATGTAGGTATTTTAAAAGTAATTAAGATAAGCTCTCCTGTTAATGGCTTCAGGGCTTTTTTCCTTCAAATTGTTTCTGTTCAACATCTAAAGATTTCTCTGAAACGCTTCTCATTTGTAATGCTTTTTTTCCACTGTGGCTGAATATAGAAACTGATTACTAAATCCATGAATTTTCTCAAGAGCAGTGCAGGCAGTATTAGCATCTACTTCCTGACTGTTATTTATAGGTTCTGATTGCTATGTTTCTAGCAGCACCAGCCCTTCTTTTAATGACACTGGAGACTTTAGTTCTGCAGCCCTTTACGAATTCCAGAAAATTGTCACAAATTTTAACTTCTAGTTCTAGTTCACTCTAACTGCTTGGTAGTTGACTTAAGTATGGTGTTTACTACTACTAGTTGTATTTTTTTTTTTCCTATTTCTGATAGAAATCAAACCCAGTAGCTTTTTGAAAATATAACACAAAAGTTAAAGGTTGTCAAATACAGCTTTTGATAATTTTCATTATGCAGAATTGTAGTGTTTTTTAATTATGTAAACAAAATGTCCCTCTTTCTGTTTATCTTAAAATACTGTGTACATTTTGAAGTATTTTTGGTTTTCCTCCTACTATTCTTTACTGAAGTCAGTGATAAAACATTTTTATGCAATCGTACCTAAATTTTTTTTGCATTTTTTTACTTGGGATGGGAGAGGTGTGGGGAAGGTGATTGGGTGGTACCTTCACTGAGTAGCTTTCAAAAATGATCCCAAACCTCTTTGAAAATGTAGGAGTAAGTGTGATCCGTAGTATTCTGTCATAGGAAAGTTATTATCATTGGGAATCAAGACTGGGTGCAGTGACCTCAAATACCGGAAGGGAACAGAATAAATATTTGAATTTTGGGTGATGGGGAGTGTGAAAAATAAAATGTTTCTTGTCTGAAAGGTGGTTGTAAAATTCCTTAGGCATTAACTATGGATGGTTAATTTTTGTGAAAAAGAGCTTTATTCTCAACCATACAAAAGCCACATATCTGGAATTGGACCCAGAAGATAGACTACAGAAGGTTTTATTTCAGAATGAAGAAAATTAAAGTTTCATGGGCAGAGATGCATATGTACTTGTTTATGTACTGGCACTTCTGCAAGCTAGCAAGATATGTTCAAAGATAGGGCAAGGAGTTCAGTTTCTGTATTACTTAGCATTTGATGTATCAGTATTAGTAACTAAAGCTACCTTGTTTAATTGGAAAGCCTGGCTTTTATAAATTTCTAAACCAAAGATTCTGTATTAAGTTTGTTTGCCACGACATCAGTGCAAGTCATACAAGTCTTTTAGTATCTGGAGTTTCTGCTGAGTTCCTGAGGGATGGAGATGTATAGTAGCTAGAAAGATGGAGCTGAGGATATCATTCACAGCCTACGTTTCTGTGCCTGTAAACCAGATCTGAAAACTGAGTACAATCTAAGTAATCTAAGGTCAGGCTGTATAAAAAACTGTAATGATAGCATTTCTAATAAGGCACAGTTCATATATGAGGGATTACCAATACATTTAGAAAGATTTGATGAAGCTATTTTCAGTATTTCTTATAACATCAAGGCTCAGGAGATTATAATTTACAGGATAATTTTTCATTCTTGTATAGTGACTAACTCTGGTCTGAAACATGGTTTATCAATAAAAGCCATTGGACTTTAATCCTTTGATGTGAATATAGGAGTAAATTTTTTCTCTTTTTCACTGGAGTTGTGAGAGTCAGACAAGCAGGCAAGAAATACGGATTTCTGACGCTGGGATATTTCACACTGATGCCATCATTTTCATGAGGCTTTTGCATGTTTCCAATTGATAATACATCGTTTCTTCAGTTTTCATATCAGTACTGACAGCAACCAGATACAAGAGAGCAATCCTTATATAGATTTTATGTTATGGCTTATAAAGAAGACAAATGAATTATATTGAATCCTGGTTCATTCTCGTTTGTTGAGGATCTCAGATACCTTTGTCTCTGCAAGCAGATGGTGCTTACGTGCTCACTCATTATGTAGTTAGCCAAGATCTTTAAAGTCAGGATGATGGAATTATTGGAGTTTAAACTTTCTGTAATTTAGTCATGTACTGTTCTTGTCTCAGCTTTGTGATTTCATGGTCTTTGGTCTGCACAGACTACATCTCCACCTTGTCCTTTTGTTCCAAATACCAGCTTATGGTATTTGATTTTCATAGCAGAGTACTAAACAAAAAGGAGTACCTTTAGAGAACCTAAGAGATTTCAAATGCTAGTAAATTTTGATTTGGCCTGGGCAGTTTTTCAGATTATGACCGTTCTTGTGCTAAATTTTTATTATTTTTTCCCCCCATTATTGTTGTATGTAACCTCATGGGGGCTTTGGGTTTTTTTTTGTTTGTAGGTTGCTTTTGTTTGTTTTTTTTTTTTAAAGTGAAGTTACTTTGGTGTAGTATATTTATTTAACAACACAAGAAGTGTAGGTGATGTGAATAGGGGATAACTTTATCTATACCTCCTGCATTCTTTCACATACATCTCATAAAGTCTTGATTTTGCAAAAGTTGTTTTCCTCAAAGCAAAATTCCAGATAGTGTTAACTACCTTCTTGTATCAAGTGTGCTTGTTGTCCTTTCCTATTTAACAAAAATATATATGCTGATGTCAGTAAATCTTAAGCATAAGTGAGACTTATATCTAATATGCTCAGGGATATTTTTATTACTTATATCGCTTTCTCGTTACCTGCTGCAAAATTAGTGAGTTTCTATATTTTTCTAACAAATTATTTAAACGGTTCAGGAATCGTAGTACACTGCATCTTTGAATGTGAGTATGTTTTCTGTCACCTTCATCTGTATGAATATTCAAGGTAGTTTTTAGAAGTTCATAAGGTCAAATGTAGGAGGATGGTGTGATTGAAGTGTGCAGTTAAAGAAATTAACATGAAACTAGGTTCAGAGATCTTTGTTCTGAAGCAAAAATGACATGCAGTAATTTTGATTAGACTTTTAAGTTGTTGTTTATCAGGTGTTTAAATTACCAGTTTAAGATACTCTGTGATATTCTCTAATAGAGAAAAATTAATGTGAAAATAAAAAGGTAAAGGATGATTTTTGACAGTGTCTTTCCCAAAATGCTTCACAAGTGATTAACCCTATTAAGGTATGTTTGTGCCATCCAGGGCTGGGGCATTTGTCCTGTCTTGCTGCTGGAGCCCAGCTGTGCGTGCCCAGGCTGGGCGTCTGTCCTCACCTCTGACATAGACTTTGAGGAGAAGTTAAACAGACAAATGTCCCTCCAGCCAGTGGCCCCGTAACCTCTCACACATAGGTGTGCACTCCGGGCTCTCCAGTTGCTGATGCAGACCTGCAAGCTTGGTGATCCATAGTCACTTTTTCTGTTGCTGACACACTGGCCTCTCTTGTACTGTGATCCCTCCAGCTGCTGGCACCTTGGTCACACCGTCCTGATGGCCTGTGGTCCCCACGCTGGTCTCTGACATGTGGACCCTCACATGCTGCAGTCACTGGCACTACAGGCACGTGGGTCCAGTGACCTGTGATCTTGCTCTAGTTGCTGACATTTGCTTTTACTCGCTTGGGTCTCAAGTTGCTGGAATGTGGGCTTGTCTCCAGTTACTTGCAGTGAGACCTTGCAGCACCCACCGGTGGGACAGAGAGCAGAGTTGCACAGAAAGATAGTTACGAGAGTATTTAATAAGACAAGATAGACCACAGTGGTCAGGCACAGGGTTTAGTCAGAGAAGTACACTGACGGGTACCTGCTTATACCTGACTCTGGCCCCTTTATGCTTCCTCCTCTCACTTCACCCACTGCCTCCAGCCCGTTCCTCACCACCCTCTCTCCCTCACCTTTGACGCTTTCCTGAAGCATTGCTTAATGAGTTTGTATAGATCTGCAGGCACCATCAAATATCCATAATACTCATTTTGTGTCACTTCCACCTTATCTGTTACAAAGACCAGGCTGATGCTCTTCAGAGCGATGCCTGTGATTTCTTAATGGCCTGACAATTAACGGCTGAAGAGTTTTGGTCATCTTTATTATCTCCCTTAGTGCCTACTTGTCAGGTTTGTGTCTCTGTGTGGTCTTTTTATGGCCTTCCCACTTATTTCATATTCCCTGTGAGCTGAAAAGGTCCTTTACCTGATAACATCAGTGAACTAGATGCTCTCACCTTCCACATGCCTTTACACTTTCTTTTTAGCTGTGTCATTGAGGGCAGTGATGATGAGCCAATTCCAAGTAGCTGCTGTGAACAGGAAATCAAACTAATGGAGGCATTAGACAAAGAATATTATGGGTTTAGATAGACACGGCATGTGAAGTAAATAATAGATGCGTAAGGTTTAAAGTAGATTTTATGATGAAAGGCGCATTTCAAACTAAGCAAGGTAAGGGGTGCCATCAGACTGTCTACAGGTAACTTTTGTTAATTTGAGTAAGGAAGGCTATCACTGCACTGAGTTGAGGGCAGCACAGATTTAAACTACTAGAAAATTACCTGTTATCTGTGTCTCAAGTTTGATTTCTGCAGTATTTCTATTTTTACTGCTATGAATGCGCAACAGGGAGAGAGCTTATTTCATACCTGCAGGGTGGTAGGGAATCTGAATCTGTGCAGTTGTGATGATGATTATTTATAGAGAAGTTTTTTCCCTTAAACAGAATGTAATTTTAAAAAGTATGATTATGTTGCAATACTAGCTAAACAGCCTACACTAAGTTTTTGGCATTTGTCAAGTTAGAAATAACTTGTCTCACTGATTATTTTGTTTTCTTAGAGGAAACTGCTGTATGGACACTACGAAATTTCACAAATGAAATTTTTTTATACTTTTACCACTGCTTTTTTTTATTCTGTTTGCAGAATCCCGTTGTGTCCAGTTCCAGCTGGTCAGAAGTAGATGTGCTGATTCTGGCTGGAACAATTGGCCATGTTTTGAGTTTGGGGGCAAGCAGTTTTATAGAAGAGGAACATCAAACCTGGTATTTTCTTATAAATACACTTTGTTTGCTGCTGTGTCAGGAAAAAGAGTGTGACCCTCAACATAGCACCACTGTGAAACAAAATTTTGATAGTATCAAGGAAGTGTCTGCGTGCAGGAATATAGACATTCCAGCAGCAGGTAATTCAAAATTGGGCAAGTCCACTTCTTCAGCTGAAGCCATGAAAGGATCAGATAAGTGGATAAGCTTAGTGAGTCCATGGATCATTCTTATTTGCTGTCGGCTACTTCGATCATTGAATCAGACAGGCATCCAGTGGGCTCATCGGCCAGACTTTGGACATTGGTTGATAAGGTGGGTATCTGATTTATTGTCATACTTTCTGACTTATTTAAAAATTAATGTACGTTTTGTTTGGTGAAATAGGTATACATGTCTATAGAGTCTCTGTTCAGAAAGTGCTCTAAACCTGCAAAGTGGGTAAACCGTGAAGTAATATAAGGAATTTTTCACTGCTACGTCATGCAGGAGTACTGTCTGTGTACTGTTTACTACCAATAATTTATAATCTTTGCCCTTCACCATGATTTATCTAATTAATGCCAGTTATACACTATAGGTTTATCAGAGGCAAAAAGTAAGTATTTTCCATATGTAAGTCAACAGTGTCTGGTTTGGGAAAATAAAAACCACTTAAGAGAATTAAACGCTTGAAATTAGAATTGACCAGAACCTTCTACCTTAATCTTTATGAAGTTGCAAGAGAAGATGCTGCACATAGAATTCTTCCTTGTTTATCACAGACGTTTGACGTGTGGGTGAAAAACTGAAGGACTTTTTCAAGTCTAGTATGTAAACAAGAAATGGGATTTTTTACAATTTGAACTATACTGGAGAAGGGCTTCTACTTTTTCTACTACCTTCTAGTATTGTGAAGAACTACAGTCATTAGTTAGTGGTAAAAAGTACTTGATGTTTGAACTGTCTTCTGTACTTCAGCTGGTAGATAGAGAAGCAATACCTTGTGACTGACTAGTCAAGGTTTTGCAGACAGTAGATGGGGAGGCTGTGATATGCAAGACAAAGAGATTTCTTGTCAGTATCATATAACACATGGATGAAATGTTATTCAGCATTCGTTAAAAGTAACATGATCAAATGAACTAATGAGACTTGTTATTTATTGTCAGCCTCACAGATAAAATGCTAATTTCTGTGACAGGCATGAATGCTGAAAGACATGAGTTATGAGGGAATTTATCACATTATAGCAGTTGCTCTATACCAAAGCTTTCACTATGCATTCCTCCTCTTGAGGTGGGGTGAGGGATTGAGGAAGGAATGTCATATTCCCAGCGTTAAGTCCACATGATAGAGAACTCCTTCATTATGAGCTAAGCCAGTATGTGAGCAGGATTAGGTGTAATTTGGTGCGACTGGGAGGGTTTTTATAATTAATCCTGAGCATCTTCCAAAGATTTATTTGCCCAATAGCGTCCTGAGCCAGATGTTTTCTTCAGGCTGTCAGCCGTTTTCTTTGGAGTGTACTAGTGCCACAATACCATGAAATGAGGACTTGATAGTCTTACAGCTGAAAAATTGCATTTGTTTCAGAGATATGCTTTTGCTTGTATAGCTCCCCAGGTATGTTTACTGACACTTGGAAGTGCTACTAGCCTTCTAAAAATTGTGTGTGCATGCCTGGACATAACTTCCAAGGATCCTGTCTTGGTAAGGGTGTTCTCACCTCTGATATGCTGGTGCTGAGTATGACTATAGCACAGCAAAATCTGTTATAGCCTCAGGCTGTGGGGACTCAAGGAGATAGCACAGGTAGAACGTAGTCTGCAGCTAGAGCAGGTTCTTCTAGGGCTTCCTGATTTGTAACAAAAGCTGGGAAATCCTGTATGCGCAACTCTTAACACTATGGCCTGTAAGGAGCTTCGAGGCAACCCAATCAGGTAAACCAAGGTTCTTTATATTTGTTCTGCCTTACTCTGTGGGGTTTTTTTTGTTGGGGAGGGAGAGGGAAGGAGGGATGGAGGAGGCTATTTTTGTGTTTAAGTTTTTTTGTCCTGTGAATTCGAATTGGCTTGTTTTGCAGAATTCCTATCCATCTTTGAAAACAACAGAATCACAGGATGGTTAAGGTAGGAGGGAACCTCTGGAAATTATTTGGTTCAGTCCCCTTACTCAGAGCAGGGTGAGCTAGAATAAATTGCTCAGATCATTGTCCAGCTGGGTCTTTGATATCTCCAGACATGGAGACTCCACAGCTATTCTGGGCAACGCATTTTCTTCTCCGTGCCTCCCCCCCCCCATTGCCTCTTTTCCTTTGTTGGGCACCACTGAGATGAATATGGCTTCATCCTCCACCTCACATCAGGCTGCTAAGATCCATACTGAGCCTTCTCTTCTTGAGGCTAAACAGTCCCAGTGCTGTGAGCTTCTCCTTGTATGACAGATGATCTAGGATTGTCATCATGATGACAGGATTGTCATCATTTTCATAGTCTTCCACTTGCTCCAATATCTCCATATCTTTGTACTCGGTAACCTGTAACTGGACACAGGGCTGAGCACAAGGGAAGAAACACCTTTCTCAGTATGCTGATAATGTTTTTCATAATGCAGCCCCAAATACTGTTGGTCATCTTTCCTGGCAAGGGCATGTTGCTGGCTGATGATCAACTCAGTGTCCACATCTCCTTTCAGAGAGATGGCTCAGAGCCATCTCTGAAAAGATGGTCAGCTGCCAGTCTGTCCTCATGTGTGTAGTTATTTGTTCCAAGGTGCAGGACTTCCCTCTTCACCTTGTTGAACTTCATAAGGTTCCTGTTGGGCCATTTCTGCAGTCTGTCGAGGTGCCTTTGAGTGGGAGCAGACCCATCTACTGTATCAGCCAGTCCTCCCAGTTCTGTATTGTGTGCAGACTTGTCAAGGGGGCACTCTGCCCCATTGTCCAGGTCATTAATGAAGGTGCTAAACAATATTGGCCCCAGTGTCAAGCCCTGGGGTTGATCTCTGGTGGCTGGTCTCCAGGTGGACTTTGTACTGCTGATCACAACCATGTGAGCCTGGCAGTTGTACCAGTTTTCAGCCTGGACTGCATCAGTTTGCCTGTGAGGATGTTATGGGAGATGGTGTTAAAAGCCTCCTTGTTAAACATGAGATAAACAGCACCCCCTGCTATCCGCTCTTAGCTAGTCATCTCATCACAGAAGTCTGTCAGGTTGATAAAGTATTACTTCCCCTTCATAAAGTCATCACAACCCTATTATTAAAAGTTGTCTGCTTACCCCTTCAGTAAGGCAGAATTACAGCAGTTAGATACCAAAACCCAAACTTCAGAATTTTACAGGTGAATTTCTTCCTGTGCTTCCCCACCAAATTAAAGCCTCAGATTGGGTATATTTGCTTGGGTCTTGAAGCAAATAGAAGAGAAAAAGTCCTACAGCTGTAGTCTTAGGCTATGACTCCTTGTTTGGGTATAATAGTATATTAAATGAGCCCTTGCCTTACAAGGCAATGTACCTGCTGTCTTGCTCCTCCTCTCACTGGCCTGTATTTTACCAGCATGGCTGTTACTTTGTCGGTATGGTGAACTAAATAATTGAATAGATGTGGTCGGAAACATAACCCAAGATAGCATGGGAAACTTGGCTTTCATTTGGTTCGCTTCCCACTCTGATTTACTGTCCAGCTTCACAAGCAAATGGGCTGGCTTAGTAACAGGAATGCAGGAAGGGGAGAGCATGCAAGCTGGCACTGCTGCTGTTGAAATTCCTGCAGAAATAAAATGTGCAAGTATCTGCATCTTTTGAAGTGCTGCAGACATAAACTTTTTTTTTTCTTTCTGCCATTGTTAAGCATTCCTTACAAAAACCCATTCTCCTTTCAAATCTGATAGAGAAAGAAGCAATGATTCACAAACTTCTACTCTTGGGGTCTTTAAAAAGATTGTGGAACCGTCCAGAGTGCCATGCTGTGGCAGGCTAAGAGGGTGGTGTGTCATTGGGGCTGCAACAGTTCTGCCTTCTCCCTTTTGTTGATGTCACTACTTCTGCTGCGTTCAGGGAGCAGGTGAAAGAGCAGAACCCTGGCAGCCCTGGCACAGGTTGACTCAGGCTGTTGTGGAGCTACATCCTGACTTAAATCAATGGAGCAGTTTTTAGCCTAACAGGAGTATATAATATACGTCAACCATGCTGACATATACTTCAGTTTCTTTTATGGTGTTAAAAGAGTGCCCAAATAGCAGCATTTGAAATGCAGGTTTTGGACTTGAGTTATGGGGATGTAGGTGAGTTCTTGGGTCTGAAATGGTTCACCGGACAAACTTCAGAAAGATCAGTCAATGACACAACTAAATCTTTGCATATCCTGTGGTTTGTAGAGTATCTGTGAATTTCTATTTGGCAAGCATGTGTGCATTTTCTTTGGTTGGAGGTTTTAACATCTTTGCTGCTTCTCCTTCACAAGAGAACAGGGCGGTAGAGATGTCTGTTTCCCTAGTGTTTTGGTCAGGATTGAGAGGATATGTTTTCCTTATAGCATAAATTGAAAGTTGGTGATAAGCTAAGTTGCACAAAGCGCTTATTCCTCTTCCCAAAATGCATTGCTAGTCTGCAACATTGATTGTTATTCTATTTTTAGGATGTGTTTAATTTGCATAGTTATGTCTTAATGGCATAGTGTTTAGTAATATGAAAATAGAACCTTACTTAGATCACATGTAACTTGATAGTTTGACTTAAAGCTACTCAGGCTACTTCTAGCCAGCCTTCTATTTTGTCTCTAAGATAAACTAATGAAAAAACTACCCTATTTTTTTTGCCCTTTATTGACCTTTTAGACATCTGTGCTCATGCTCAGACTAATATTTGGCTTATCTAGACAGTGCTTAAGGGGCTCAGCATTTGAGACGAAGAGACTGTTCTGCAGTTTTGTGCATGTAGAAACATAAGCAGCAAACCACCAAAAATCAGCCCACCTGTAGCATCCTGCATTTGGCTACTATGATGGATTCAACTGTGCTGAAATGAGGAAAACATTCTTCGTTATTTGCAGAGAGACTCTGCAAAACCTGCTACAAAGAAAAAAAAACAGACTTTGGTGGGAAAATAAAAGCAAAAGAAAATCAGACAGTAGATGAAGTGGAGGAGAACGTGCAGTCACTAAATTTACCTGGGAGCTGGGTTTTCTTTTTAGTTAGTTGGTATTCAGTTAGTTTAATCTTGGTCAGAGCTGATGCTTGGAAGGTGTCAGAGCTGCTACGTGGCTTACTGGAAGGGGTGAAGCTGTCAATGAAAGCATCAGCTTGAAGAGAAGTGATGAGAAGCAGCAGCATGGGAAGATGATAATACTGCCTTTTAATAATGTAATTAACCACCCCCAAATACCCTTCCCCTCAAAGCTAGCATACCATGTGACTCCTGTGTATTCTGTTGTACATAGTAGAATGAAAATAAACCATTAAACAAGGCTTTATCCACGTAAAATATGAATTGGGCACTTTTATAATTCCTTTCACTCTATTTATATTCACAATAGTGAGGTGATGTCAAAGCAGTGGAAGGAAATGTCTTACCAGAAGTAAGAAAGTGTAAACCACAGGAAGAACATGCAGCCAAAGCTCTTTTTTTTGGTTCTCTCTCAGGAAACTATTGGTTCTTCTGTTTCAATTTTATAGCTTGGGCAAAACACACTGCGTTTCAGCTGAGATCAGAGTAGCACATTCATGCTTGTATTTCTGAGTAGAATATCAAAATCACTTAGAACTGTGCTAAATAGGTCTACTCTGTGTAGAGCAACTACAATCTCCTTTCAAAATACATGCTAATTTAATATGCACTTAGCTGTCTAACTGTAAATACCTTGGCTGGAAAACCTTGAAACTGTAGGTGATTTATGTGGACCTGACTTCACTTGCTGAAAATCATTTTATTGTTTCTTCAGCAAACTCTTTGAAACACTGGAGTAGGTTTTTTGGAACAAATTTGCAGTGTTCAAAAAAATCCAAAACAGAAATCACAGAGGGCTGTTGGCAGAAAACCTGGGCGTGAGTTGGATATACAACCATGTGATAGCAGTCAAGAATCATAGAATGGTTTAGGTTGGAAAGGACCTTGAAGGTCATTGAGTTCCAACCCCCCTGCCATAGGCAGGGACACCTCCCACTAGACCAGGTTGCCCAAGGCCACATCCAGCCCTGAACATCTCCAGGAATAGGGTCTCAACAACTTCTCTGGGCAACCTGTTCCAGTGCCTTACAACCCTCAAAGTAGAAAATTTCTTCCTAATGTTTAATCTAAACCTGCCCTCTTCCGGTTTAAAGCCATTCCCCCTCGTCCTATCGCTGCCTGCCCTAGTAACAAGTCCTTCCCCAGCTCTCCTGGAGGCCCCCTTTAGGTACTAGAAGGCCACAACAAGATCTCCCCTGGAGCCTTCTCTTCTCCAGGCTGAACAACCCCAACTCTTTCAGCCTCTCCTCATAGGAGGGGTGCTCTAGCCCTTGGATCATCCTTGTGGCTTTCCTCTGGACACGCTCCAGCAGGTCCATGTCCTTCTTATGTTGGGGACTCCAGAGCTGGATGCAGTACGCCAGGTGGGGTCTCACGAGAGTGGAGCAGAGGGGCAGAATCGCCTCCTTTGACCTGCTGGCCACACTTCTTCTGATGCAGCCCAGGATACGGTTGGCCGCCCGGGCTGTGACTGCACATTGCTGGACATGTTAAGCTTCTTGTCCATCAGCACGCCCAGGTCCTTCTGAGGGCTGCTCTCCAGCCATTCTCCTTCCAGTCTGTATTTGTGCTCGGGATTGCCCCGACCCAGATGTAGGACCTTGCACTTGGCCTTGTTGAACTTCATGAGGTTGGCTTGGGCCCACCTCTCCAGCCTGTCCAGGTCCCTCTGGATGGCATGCCTCTCCTCCAGCATGTCTGCCTTGCCAAACAGCTTGGTATCATCGGCAAACTTGCTGAGGGTGTACTCGACCCCACTGTCCATGTCACAGACAAAGATGTTGAACAGTACAGGTGTGTGTACACAGAATGTACCATTAGTGATTGGTGTGCATATGACTTTGAACATAGTTGTCCACTGGGCCTTCTCTGAGAATTTTCTTTCTTTCTGGGGGGGTTAGAGTATGATTTCAAATGTTAACTGTAGGGAATTGCAGCTGTTGGTGAGTGTCTTGCTTGATATATCACCAGCAGTTACTTCTTACAGGTAGGAATGTTTTTTTACTTTTCATGTGTTGCTATGTTAGATTTGCTTGCAAGACTCTCTTAACAGAAGTGAATTCATTTTTTTAGGTAATGACAGAAAGATAAAAATGATCACGTGCTGTTATTTATCCTTGATTTGTTTTGTCTTGCTCTCATACAATGAACAGCCAACAGGAACGAGGCCTGAAAGCTTTTAAAATTTTCCACAAAGGTTCATTTGAAAGATATAGTGGCTATGAAATTAGTTCTTTATGTGTTGATCATAAGAGATGGTGCATGCACTATCTTCAGACATTGCTGCAGCAATCCATTCACTGCTTCTACTATCTCTTTCTGTAGAGCAAGGACAATGGTGAGGAGGAACATCAAGATGACATTTTCTCGCCCATAATGTTCTAGTTCTTACTTGTCTTACTTTACTGGCCTGCAGAGAGCAGTGCATCTCTTGGAAGTCTTCTTAAGTGGTATGAAGTGCTTGACTGGATTGTGCAGGGAGGACTAACAGGACAATTTTTCTGCCCCATGTCCTTTGCTCTGTGACTTTTCAAGTACAACAGCTGAAACAGCTATTGGTCAAACTCCTGATAAAACATGTACTAGGGAATAGGAAAGTAAACCTATTTGAAGTCCTGTAATTTAGATTAAATCAGAGATAAAACTGGAGTTTCTTAAGTGCATTCAGAGTTAATGCAGGTAACAGCCCAGGCTCACACACAGTTTGCTGAAGTTAGTGATCTTCTATCATGGCATTTTGAACTGTGAAAGACAGAAGATGGAGCCCTTGGCTCTCACACTACGTGATATTCTTAACAGAAAGTAAATCTCACAAAATTAGTGGTTATAGGTCATTGGGGATACTGGGAATAGTTGCAGTTGGCAAGGGTTAGCAGTACTTGGATTACAGTGGGCTTTCTGAAATTGCATAGCTGGTGATGGTAGGAATTGAGAGCAGATCTTTACCTCACCTCATTACATTTTGCAGTGCTAGTTGATATCACTGTAGATTTAAATACATAACGTTGGCAGTGTGCTTAATGAAATGCCCTTGAGTCTGGAATGAGTGCTACCTGTTCAGGGTCTGGGGGAACAAACAAACAGTATGTGTAATCTTCTTGGCCATGATACCAATTTTGTGTCTTTATTTCTTCTATGTATTGATCCAATACAAGGTGCTGTAGTTGCATAAGGGAACCATATTGTGCTACTGTATTTGTGTGTATGTGTTTTAAACTATGTAAGTGTATTTCTGATAATTTTGGCTAGGTAGTGTTTTGTATGTCTGAAATTAAATAAATCAAATACACGTGCAGTTGTTTGAAAAGAGAGAATAGTTGTAATTCTATAGTGCAAAAATCTTTTCTGCCTTATGCTGGAAAATGAAATGCTGTAGTATAAGCAAAATGCACTGTTTCAAAATGTATAAATAACAGACCCCTAGTTTAAAAGCATTAGACCCTTTTCCATTATGTAATATGCAGCTCAGTTTTTATATAATTAACAGAATAACTAGCATATGGTAGAACACAATAATTATACTTTTAAACATGCATGCTTGAATAGAAAACCTCATTAATAAAACTGCTTTTCTAAAAATACTAGAATATTTTACCGTACCTCTTGGAAAGTTCATAACAGATGTCAGTGCAGTGATTAATTTCAAAATACAGTGCTGTAGCTAAGGCTCTGTCAAATGTATTTAGCAGTAATTACAGTGGTTTGAACAGGTTTTTTGTTGTTTGTTTCCCCTCCCCCTCCCCCCCCCACAGCTCTGAACATAAATCTGAACTCTCCTTCTTGGCTGCAGTCTCCCTACTTATGGTCTTCTTTCTGGTTCAAAGAAGATGCTCCCTGGTTTCAAAAATTGCTATGGCACTCGGGCTTCTGGGAGTCTACAGTTACCGGGCAGCTATTGGAAATGTCATATTTCCATGGCAACAGGACAGCAAAGATATTTCAAAGTGAGTTAATCAACAGATACATAAATCTATTTCTAGAGAGGTGTTAACAATTTGAATATCAGGGGATGAAGTGGGAGGGGGCATTATGTCTAGGCTGGAATCACATTCTTATGAATAAAACTCTATTTTGTAAGTGGTCAGCGCTCAGTTTTTGTGATGTGTGCATAATTTTGAGCCCCATGAAGTGTCTTTCGACTGTCACAGATCAGAAACCAGTCAGATAAGAATTAATATCAGGAAAATCTAATAGTCATACCCTGTATTTTTGCTATAAAGAAACTCCAAGTGCACCATCTCCGCTTGTTTTAGATGGACTTGCCACATTAGCAGAGTGCATGCCAAGCTCATTTAGCTACTTCCTAGTTTTGAAAAATGCTTAGACAGTAACTGGGAGAGTTGCTTTTCTGTACCTTTCTTTTGCAGGTGAGTGTTCTGTAATGTATGGCTTTTCAAGATGTAACCAAATCCTTGAGGTCCAGGCTGTGCTGCACATACAGAAGATTTTTATGTGGATGTTAAGTTTCTTACAGAACTAGTCTGTAACAGTAAGGAATCTATTAGCTTTTTCACCAATAGCTACTTTTGGAATGTAGCTAAGTTACTTTAGTTTTCTTATGATACTTTTTACTGTTGGATTCTACCTGTCTCTGCAGCCTCAAGTTTTTTCTAAATGTCAGAGAGCTGCAGAAAACTTCCAGAGTCCACTAGGACATTTGGTGAGGAGGAGGGGATTATGGAAGAGAAGTTGCAAAACAATTGTCTTCTGGATGTAACAAACTTTCTCTTGCACTTATTTTGAATTTGATATGGATACAAATTATTTCTATTGGAGCTTCTGAATCGGGGATCAGAGGTTTGCAAGATGTGCAGAGATGGAAACAACCCTGCAGGAGAAGATCTTAGGACATATTAAAGATCAGATATGCTAACGAGACACGATTTATAACAAATACTTGTACAAAAGTATATCTAGATACTTTACATACGTTCAATCTCTTCAAATATTGAAGAGAATTTTAGTTGTATACTAGTGTTAAGTTAACATTGTGTGCTAGTTCTGCTGGATGCGAAAGTGATGGTATCTTTACTTAGTCCGCAGGGTTTAGCTCTGTGTTTGCAATATGCCTGATCTCTGAGTGTGACCTCTAGCTTTGCTTTGTGTTTGAGTAGAATCCTTGGAGAACAATACGGTCCTTGCAATAAGAAGAAAAATATTGCAATGTGGGACAGAAAATTAAATACCGCAATTGAGCTGCAAATAAAATGCTATTAGAGAATTAAGTGGAGTACTGAAGGCAAAGCATTTACTGGAAAGTTGTTCATTCTATAGTCAGTATATAGATTGCAATTATAACAAGAAACATACAGGCTTTTTGTGTTATTTGACCTTAAATAAATAGCGAACATGGTAATTTCTTAAATTATGTCAGACCTTTATATATGCTCTGATTATATGCTGGTTTAAAAGTTACTGTCATTTTTCAAATCTTTACACCCTTTAGATCCTCTGTGTACGCTGTTTGGTGAAAGCTGGTAGGGTTAGCAAATACAGATTCTGACCTTTGTGTCAGCCTGTGTTCTGCACCTGGGCGGGAAGTGTGGTGCAGGGCTCTTTCCAGATCTCAGTAAGAAAGGACCAACAACAAATGTGTAACAAAATAGCTATTTTAATAAGATAGGGTAAAAAGAGGAATATAGGTAGTGAGTGTCTTTCGGGTGCTGGGATGCTGGGAACTTTGTTTTCGTGCAGTGTCAGACAAACCCCAGAAGAATCTTCCCATAGCATGTCCCAGTTGTTGGAGATGTTCTACCTCCATCCCATACTGAGGTTCCTTTTATTTTGTGTTTAAAAACAAAACAAAACAAAAACCAAACAAAACAACAACAAAAAAAACCAAACCAAAACCCAAATAAACCCATGCATCTACTCCTGCCAGGTCAGAATGTTATCTCTGCCCCCCCGGGGTTTTACAAAGGCTTGCTATTTAAGGGAATAAAATAGTAAAGTCCCTTTGCGTAGACCGTTAGGTATGAGTTTGAACCTTTGAAAGCTAAACCACACAACAGAGTACTGTATTCAGGTTTAGGAAGGCCACATCACTATCATGTATTGGTTTTGCCTTTTTTCTTCGTTCTGTGGGTGCAAAAAGAAAACCGAATGTGTAAATACGCTTGCTTATAATTTCTCCTCTTGCTTTTTAGTTCTCGTTCTGGTATGTGGAAAAGAAAGATTGAATTCAAGTTGATTTGTTAGTAATTGTTTGAGAAGAAAAGTGACCTTCCAAAATCTGAAAAAAATAGTTACAGTTAAAAGGAGAAATTTATTTTTAGAAATTTTGACTAATGATGTTTTCTGTGGTCAGCTAGTTATACTGGTTACACCAAGTGTAACTATGTTTTTACTATTTTTAGCGTCACGGTCTAATCCTTCGTATATTATTAAGTCCAGATGACTCAAGAATCCTCACTTCTGAGTGAATTATGTTAACTTTGTAGTTGTAGGAGACCGTGTTCATTAACCGCTCATGTATAAAGTAACTGGTAGTCCCTAAGGACAGTGTATGTTAAATTATGGATAAAGCGCGTAGGTAATGTGTATTTTTATCTTTTGCAGGATAAAAAAATAGATTTATAACCACAAATTTTTAATATGCTTATTTAGTGAGCTCACTGGATTATTATAGTTTAGCTCACACTAATGATTTGTGGCATTTTTTGCCCAGTAAACATAAGATTATGTGTGCATTCTGATGGATATCTGCTTTCATTTTCTTTGTTCCTTGAGCCTCGCACTTCTGGAATAGCAGGTCATAGTTTTTAAGGTTACTGATCATTGTCCTTCTAAGCTTTTTGGATGAGATGCTGTGTTTTCTTCAGAAGCTGGCTTTCACTGGAAATGAAACGGCCAATAAAATTATAGGTGCAATGAACACAGCAGTAGATGCTAATTACGCTTACTACTTTAATGTAATGGGATTGCTTAGGGATTTGAAAAATGTGTACAGTTACAAGGAAAAAATGTGCTAGTATAAACCAGCATATCTGTGCAGCTGTGTAAGGTGAGAAAATGTCTGAAGTATGCAGAAATTTCAGACTGAAATAAGGATCTTCAAATACTACCACTGTCCTCTTGGTTCGCTAAAAAGAAACTGTTTGTGTGAATAAGTTGTGAACAATCACTGAACAGCTTAAAGGGAATAGTCATTTTTAAGTCAATTCCTGAGATAAAGTTTCCATATCACTCGAAGGAGTATTTTGGGGGAAATTCATTATGCTATACAAATGGCATATTTATATGAATATATTTATAGATCTAGACTTTAAATAGTAATTACATAAATTTATTTTGGTTATGTTAATTGACACAATTTTATTTTTATATTTTAGGTTAGTTTAGTATTTAGCACAAGCTGTTTTATTTGCTAAAGTTGATTCGGAGGTGTTGTAATTTAAATATGAAACATTTTCAGAGTTTTCTTGTTTAAAAAAGCTCTGTCATGAAATTGGCCAGTACTAGCCTTAGAATTTAACATGTTTGGCAGAACTGCAGTGGTCTTGCACCTCTCTTGAGAGACTTTTTGACCTGTGAAATAGATATTACTAAGTAGCTCATCTTTCTGGTTTATTTGTTTATTAATTATTACTTTTTTTTTTTCCCCCCCTCTTTAGGGGGATTACTGAAGCTCGTTTCGTTTATGTCTTTGTCCTTGGCATAGTCTTTACTGGCACTAAGGATTTACTGAAGTCACAGGTTATTTCTTCAGTTTCCAGCATGAAGAGTACAGGATTATGGGAAGTGTATAGTGGATTGGTTCTACTAGCAGCCCTTCTATTTAGACCTCACAATTTACCAGTCCTGGTGTTTTGTCTGCTGATTCAGACCATGATAACAAAATATATCTGGAGACCTTTGAAGTTTGATGCAGCACAGATTACTATCATGCACTACTGGTTTGGCCAAGCTTTCTTCTATTTTCAGGTAAGCTGAATATTCTCCCTGCTACAGGGGTGGGAGGGGGAATAGTTTTTGAAAGAAATATTGTCCATTGTGAATAAAATGCCAATTAAATTTCAGTGTGGAAGAGTTTACTGAGATCTCAGAAGGGTTTAGTTTCTAACTGTATTATTAATGTTTTGTTTTCAGAATCGGGGAAAGATGCATACCTTGATAACTTATCCTCAATATAGTGTTAAAAATACTGGATACCTATACCAGGGGCAATTTTAGTGGGCTTCGTATTTAGTGTTCTGGTGATAATAAATTTAAAAATTTCAACTGAGTTGATTATTACCAATAAAAGGCAGATGGCTTTTTGTCCCTTTTTCTTGAGGTTTACGAAACCTTTGGTAGCAGTAGGTCTACATACAGTTTAAGATTGAAGGAAGTTCTGTGACAAGGTAATGTCTCATTAAGAATTAGCATTCTTATATCAAATAGTATCTTCTTTCCTGAGGGGTCTTACTAATTTCAGTAACGCAGTTTCCCACATTGCAAATAAGGTTGCAAGTCCACAAAAGCTTTCCTTTTAGCATTGAAGCTGGAGAGGTTCTTTCCACTTCTAATAATGTTGGAAACTTAGTGTAGCAGACTGGCATTTGCTAAGTTGGGGGTCAGGTTGTTTTTCATTTAGGAGGAGGGACTTTCCGATTTGTTGCAAAATTTCAAGATTGAGACCTGCATTGGCTTTACTTTTGAGGTATGGCTGAGGACGTTAAAACTGGCTTAGAGTACTTCCTACTCTGTTTCTGATCCTGTTAGTACTGATTGAGGATTGGCTTGGCTTTAGTCAGAGAGTACATGCCAGGATAGGGAACTGCTGATGGGGATAAGATCATCATGATTCATCCCTTCCTACCCAGTTTTCCTGCTCAGAGGATGTAACGTTTCTTGGTTGAATGGGTTTTGCATGTCTTGAATGTTACTGTTCAGGCAGTCAGCTCTGATAATGGCTTTTTGAGAGCAGCCCTTAGTGGGATTGGCAAGAGGCTACGGTGAGGCCCTCTCAGTACTGAAGTACGAAGCAAAAGCAGCTGCCAGAAATTTAATAGTGAGTAGGCTGGCAAGAAAATCCTAGTTATGGAAAAGGGACTAATAAAGAATGATTTGGACGTTTTCATAAAGCACCCATTTTCAGTGATGATGAATTCTTGGTACGGTTGGCTGAGAATTTCACAGAACCATGAAATCACAGAAGAGTTAAGGCTGGAAGGCACCTCTGTAGATCATTCAGTCCAACCTCCCCCCATCTAATGGCAGGTGAACCAGATCAGGCTGGTCTGGACTGCGTCCAGTCTGATTTTAAATACTTGCAAGGATGAAGACTCTGCAACCTCTCTGGGCAGTCAATCCCAGTGCTTGACTGCCCTAGCCAGTAAAAGTGCTTTTTCTGGTGTTTAAACAGAACTTCTTGTATTTCAGTTTGTGTGCATTGCTTTTCATCCTTTTGCTAGTCACTACTGAGTGACTGACTGAGAAGGTCAGAGTCTGGCTACGTCTTCTTTACTGCCTCTCTTCAGGGGTTACACATTTTTATGATCTCTGCTGAGCCTTCTCCCTTTGAGGGTAAACAGACCCAGCTCTTTCAGATTCATGTTTGCATGACAGATGCTTTGTTCCCATGATCATCTTTGTGGCGCTTCAGTGGACTTTATTGAGTACATCCATGTCTGTCTTGTGCTTGGGACCCCAGAACTGGACCCAGGAGCCCAGATGTGATCTCACCACAGCTTAGTAGAGGGAATGGAGCATCTCCCTTAACTAGCTAGTGATGCAGTTCCAGGTCCTGTTGGTCTTTGCACAAAGGGCAAACAGGCTGTCTGATAGACAACATAATGTCTACCAAGATCCCCGTGTCCATGTCTGCCAAGCTGCTTTCAATATGGTTAGTCCCCAGCCTGAACCAGGGCGTGGATTTATACCTCCCCAAGTGCTGGATTTGAAATTTTCCATTGCTGAACTTCATGAGTTTCTTCTCAGCCCATTTCTCAAGCCTGTTGAACTGCCTCTGAGTGGCAGCAGATCCAGTAGAGTCCTGGCAACTCCTCTGATGTATTTGGACTGTCAGCCTTGATGTCCTTTGGCTGGTCTGCCATGCCCAGGGCCCAGAGGTACCTGGGGAGGGGAGGCAGGCAAGGAGGGGGCTCACTTGCCACCCCTAGCACAGACTTTCCTCCATTCACCATTTTCTGGTATGCCGTTGCCTTCCGTGCCTTCAGCCCTGCGCGGTGAGAAGATGAGATCCCTGTGATCTTGTTTTATTTCTGGTGACTGGCCTGGTCTGTCTTTCAGGGAGCTCAAGGCATGGGTCCACCAGTTGATTTCTTTCTCACACAAGGTAAAGGGAACAGTTAGATCTGATAGTGTGTGTTGGGTGGTTTTATACTGGTGTTAGTGGGAAGATAGACATATGTTTTTAAGATTTTTCTTTTTAATGACTGATTTTTTGTACTTTCAACTACCCTTGAAATTGAGGAGTTTTTTGGGTTTTAGAAGACTGGAAGAAGTGATTTCTATTTTAATTGGCTTCACATTGTGCTGTTGGATATCCTGTTGCATTTTCAGGGCATACACCCAGGCTTCATCACCCTGCTGGCAATTTTGACGTTTCTTCTAGATGTGTTTCCTTTGAAAGTAATAACTTTCAGTATGGTACAGATTTCAGCAAACTTGAGGATATTTTAAAAATTAGCTGTGACAAGCTCTAGGGCAACCAAGGTGATTGAGGGATTGGAGCATCTCCCTTATGAAGAAAGGCTCACAGAGCTGGGACTCTTTAGCCTGGAGAAAAGAAGGCTGAGGGGAGACCTTATTACTACTTACAAATATCTAAAGGGTGGGTTGAAAGAGGATGGAGCCATACTCTTCTCAGTGGTTCCCAGTGACAGGACGAGGGGCAATGGGTGCAAGTTGGAACATAGTAAGTTCCGTTCCAACACACGAAAAAACTTCTTTACAGTTAGGGTGACAGAGCACTGGAACTGGCTGCCCAGGGAGGTTGTGGAGTCTCCTTCTCTGGAGATTTTCAAAACCCGCCTGGATGCAGTCCTGAGTAATGTGCTCTAGGCAATCCTGCTTTAGCAGGGGAGTTGGACTAGATGATCTCTAGGTCCCTTCCAACTCTGAAAATTCTGTGATTCTTGTGCATAGACATGCTGGTAAGCACAGCATTCAAAGCTCAGGAAGGAGAAATTCTCCATTGTTTTTTTGTGAGCCAGATTGCATGATTGGTCTTTCCACATCTCCTGTTACTCTAAGATCTGTAGAATGAAGAGTGATAGTGACCAAAACTTCTGGTAAAAGCCAAACAAAGGTACTTTCCCTCATGTTGTTTCCCATGAGATTTATTAAGTCCGAGATATGAAATATAGCAGATCCATATAAAGAGCTGCCTTTTTGTGTCCCATCACATGACTGAAAACTCCACTTTTGAAGAGACTTTTCTGATTTTAGCAGCAGATTGTCAAAATTTTTGACAAACTCTTACTCTCTTTAGCACTGGGCACTTTAAAGAACGTATCCATTTCAGAACTTGCCAACAGTCTTTTGCAAACTTTTTTTAGTTGTCTATTTGGAAAACCAAGGTGTGTGCCTATTCAGCGTGCCTAAGACAGAATAAAATGACAAGTGGATTGTAATAGAACAGGAGGGATTTCAGGAATAACAGTTTTGATTGTGGTCTATTTCTCTATTTTCCCTATTTTACTGTTTATCTCTAGTTCTCTATTTCTCTTATTGGAAATAAGATTGGATATTGCCCCATCCCTGGAAGTGTTCAAGGCCAGACTGGATGGGGCTTTGAGCAACCTGATCTAGCAGAAGGTGTCACTGCCCATGGCAGGGTGGTTGGAACTGGATGATCTTGAAGGTCCCTTCCAACTCTAACCCTTCTGTGATTCTCTATTTTTTCTCTTTTCACAACATCCTAGAGATCTTTCAAAAGTAGATAAATCAGTTCTGCTGAGGGAAGAAGTGGTTTTAAGAGTCAAGACAGATGGAATTTTCTTCCACCCCCCCCACTCCTTAGAGAACAAGTTTTCGGTTCTCTTTCAAAAGTGCTGTAAGTACATCTACATTAGATGCCCTTTCTAGGATGGAGATTAAGAATTTGACCAAAATATAAGTCTTCAGATGTTAGCTTTGTTTGTTTGTTCTCTGAGGAACAAATGGTTCTGCAGATACAGAGAGGAACAGATTGAACACAAAAGTGTTTGGGCTTTTTTGTTTTGTTTTGTTTTTTGGTTTTTTTTTTCTTTTTCCCCATCGCAATTGAAAACAGTTATCTGATGTGCAAAATATTAGTGTAGAAAAGTAGAATAGTCAAGCTGGTAGCTCATAAAATTACAGAGGCTACAAAAGTCCCTCAAAATCTAATTAATGCTCTCTATTCAATAGGTAAATGTCTTAATTTGTTCTGAGAATAGGTTTACCGTCTGTGACTGTAGATCCAAGGAAATTATGTTTAATTTCATCCTCTTTGTATCTTGGTTTGCTCAGTATGTAGCATTCTGGTCTGCATTACCAGGGAAAATCAAAAACGTGACAACCCACAATAGCCACTTCTTTGTTAATTATTTTTCTTGGATATATTTAAGTTTCTCCTTCCCTTTTATTTGAGTTCAGAGTCTAGACCACGAATAACTTGTTGCAGGTGAAAACTTGCTCAGTTTGTGTGGCTTAAAATCAGGATTGAAGTGTGTTACTGATTTCTTAGTGATACATAATTAACTGGCAGTCATATATTAATGGTACTTACTTAACTGGCAGTCACTGAACTGTAGATGCAGGATCCATACCAGATATACAACAGATGAACACTCACTAATTGCTATGTCATTCTGTATACCTGATTTGAAAGAGATCTAGCTCCCACCCTTGCACTGGGCCCCCCCACCTTCCAAACACATAGAGGTAACCTCCCCTTCAGGTGTGTTATAAACATTCTCTTCTCATGGCAACGCAGGTTCCTCTTTTTACTCACACCTCTTGTG